ACAGGGGCCTTGGAGCTGGCCAACCAAGCTGTACTAACTACTTGCATGTGAGGTTGGACAGCTAAATTTACTGAGATTCAACCCCTTCCTTTACGAATTATGAAAGGGGGATGATAACGCCTGCTCAGGTGAGATGTGCGTAGTGTAAAGTGAGGCACATTTTTGGATGGCAAGGCACCGTGCATTTGCATCTCTGAAACTTCTGCAGTGGCAGTCCTAACACTATGCCCTTGAGGAGTGGGGACTCCATGTAGAGTGGAGAAAGGGCAGTAAAATCCAGTCAAGTCTGATGGAAAGCTGACTTCAGTAGGGATAACTTGATGGATTCTCAAGGGCCTTTGTGGCAACCTTAGCCACCCTCCACCCTCACTCAGCTCCTAAAAACCCTAAGTTCTATGAATACAGAGCTTCTCTCAGTTCCTCCTCTGCCCCATGTTCTTTCTCACTTCCAGTTCTCAGTGGTTTGCTACTCCCTCTCCCATCTGGAAGGCTATCCCCAAACCCCATCCCCCTCATCACCTTAACATAGGGACAGGAAGTTAAGAAACCTGATGACTGAGAACTATGGTTTAGATATTGATTTAAAAAAAAAAATCACATCTTGGCCTGCTGACGTTAATTGGACAACTCGTGACACACATACAGCAGGGTCTTGCTGATCCACAGCCTGAGGAAACAGCAGCACAGCCCTTGTCTAACCATCCAAGGCCAAAAACTCCAATCCAACACATGGGAGGAGTTAATGACACATCAACCATTTTCCAGAAATGGCCACCTCCATGTCTGCAGGCCCCAATTAAAGTTTAAGATCTTGGGAGCTTCAGGGACTCTCCAGCCTGCCCACTGTCCCCCATCTTGAGAGTGTATGTTCACTGTACTTTTGCTTTGCATTAATACATCTATTCCTGCTAAAGTCTCTTCTGTGTCTGTCCTTGAATTCTTTCTCTGACAATATTGAGCACTTTCTGGTCTCTTACACGGTAACCCAGATTCAGTAACAACTTCATTCTTGGGTCTCAGCTGACAGGACCCTTATGCTGGGAACCCTTTCCTGTCTCGGGTGGAGGTCAGTCCCCATTCTTACTGGTTTCCTTGTGTAACTTATGCCACACACCTATCACAAAGTATGGTCGTTTTCCAACTCTCCTCCCCCAAAGAAAACAAGGTTTTGAGGCCCAGGGCTGTATCTTCCCATGCTCATAGGTGCCCAGCACCCTCTGAGGATTTGTTACATCCCTCTGAGGTAGTGAAGATAGGAACAAAGTCATTCAAGGCCTCAACGACAAGCCAAATAACCACAAATCCCAACCAAAGCCTCTCAGTAGCTGCTCCATCTGTCCTGTTTGCAAGGGTTACAGACCAATGTCTGAAGGCCGGCTGCAATACATTTGGCAACCTGGATGAAATACACCACGAACTTCTTTCCAGCCTGGCAGAACCTTAACATGTTGCAGCAGATGGTAATGGGAGGAAGTCAGAACCTCTGGGTAAGTGAAAAGGCTAAAATCAAAAATTAGATGTTGGCTTTTAGAACTGGTTTGCCAGTTACACATTCACTGACTTCCTAAACTTTCTTAGAAACTTAGTTTGAAACCTGGCCAGAAAAACATTGTCAGAAAAATCAGACAAAACCAGCAAAATTGCTCTGAATTTCTGTCAGGAAGGCCAACAATCTACCCAGGGACTCATTTCCATGGTTATGTACAGAAAATAAATGCCAGGGACAGGCACAAAGGGAAAAAATGGAGCCAGTCCAGAAGAACTCCATCTGGCTGGGGGAAGGAGTGTAGAGGGCAGTTTAAGGTAATCAGCCTTTTCACTGTTCAGTCTTCTCCTATTTAAAACCACCAGGGATGATAGCAGGCAGCCCATCATGCACTTTGAACCATGGACCCAGCTTCTCTCCTGATCCTATCTGCAACTGCTGCCACCTGTTTCTAGCATGCTGCCACTCTTCCCACTGTAAGTTATTTTCAAGTAGTCAAGTCAGAGTACCTGAGCCTGTGAGCAAAAACCTATCATGCTCTGCCTTCATGGCATTCCTCTAACCTGGGCCTGGCTGAGCCAGGCCTGCAACTAATTCTGTATTTCTTGACATGATCGTCTTCCACTCAACAAGACTGATGGCACCAGAAGTCAACCAACACTGTCTGTTGGAAAGGATGTGCGTTTTTTTCTCCTTCAGGGACAATCTGGCAGATGTCATTGCGTTTTTCTCCTGTCAACTGATGTCTCACCACTTCAGTGACTCTGAAATTACTGAAAAAGTTTCCACACAAGCAGGTTCTAGATTTGTTTTTCCCCTCCTTCCTGTGCAAATAGGCAGGCTAGGCACAATCTATTAAAGCATTTGACCAGTGGTTTGCCAGGAGTCAACCTCAACCTCTGGCTTTTAAAATGCCTAATGCCACTGACTAGCTCCTGGGTCAAGTGTGAATTTAAGGAGGAATGATAGGGATGGGCAGGCTTGAGAGTCAGGAAACAGACTTCAGTTTGTTACTTCCTTGCTGTAATCTTGAACATCCTCTAAGCCTCAGCTTTCTCACCATGGAGGTGGGATTATTCAGGGCCACTGTATATGGAGTGCTCGAAACAGAATGAGCGTTCCTCACTAGATGCCTACAGAGATTACATGTGGGGCTTCTAAGTTTCTTCATCTTTCACAAGTTCCTCCAATCCATAAAGTGGGAGTGGCTATTCAGGAAATTTGCATAATTACCCACAGGTTACATAATGCCTTACTCTACACTATTTTATGGCTTCCATCAGAGATCCTGAGTAGGTCTGAGCTATGGCACCAAATGGAATGCTATTTCTATGCCTATAACAGCCAACGTTGGCGGTATCCTTGAAGATCATCAGTTTAGAAATGTGGGAGAAAGTTACTGTTGGCAATTGTAGCACAAACTTTTTTTTTTACTCAAGACTACCTACCCATGGTTCCCCTTACTTCTCTACCTCCCTCACAGGTTAGGTCATGTACCTGTACTGGTCAATGGACTAAGAAATGTCATGCATCATTTTAGGACTGAAGACCACCACAGGAATTGGTGGTTGTCAACTTTTTCTTCTGCAATCACAGCAACTGAGCTGAGCTGGTACAGCCACAAGGCAGAAGTAGACTGAATCTGATTTACTTCAGGCTGCCCTGAAGTCACCCTACTTACATGAAACTTGCAAGAAATGGATCTTTGTTCTATTTGCTGAGTCTCTAAAATGTTCCAGGTACCATATGTGGTACTTTAATGTATTTTTAATAATTCTTTTCTTACTGCTCTAGGACAGTTCTAATCTGGGGATAGTTTTGGCACCCAGGGGACATTTGGCAATGTCTGGTGACATTTTTCATTGCCACAACTGAAGGGGAATCTAGTTGGTAGACAAGGGACAAGGCTAAGCAGCCCCATAATGGATTAAATGTACCACCTCCTTCCCCCCCAAAAAAGCCTTCCCATAAAAGCCCAGACCATCTCTCTGAGATGATCATTGTTTCTCTTCCATATATACTCTGCTTATTTAAGTACAGGTATGCATACATCCTCTCTCCTTTTATGCTCAAATGGGCTCTCTCTCTCTTCTCTCTCTCTCTCTCTCACCCACACTGCTCTGCATGTGTGTCTCCAGTCCATTCTTTACCAGAACCAATGCACCTGCCTTGCAGCCACGTCTGGTGGTCTAACAGTCTTACGCAGATGCTAATTTCTCAAGGTACATCATAATGAAAGCCCTTTCCCTTAGAAATTCTCAAAGGAGCTTTTAGGAAACCTTAGTGCTGGTCCAATCCCAAGATTGATTCAACTGCCCTAGGAGGGACCTGAGTACCCTAAGAACAACCAAGATTGATTGTTTGGGATCCAGTTTGGCACATGTCAAGACCAGAGTGAATCCATCTCTGCTCTCAAGGACCACAAGATCTCCAGGCCTTCAGATCCCTGAGATCTTCCCAGAACACCCTTCTCAACTTTCTCTATTCCCTTACCCTCCAGCATTTAAATGTTATCACTGCCTTTGAACCACCTGCTCCCTCTCTCTTCTCCACAGACAGATCTTTGTCTCCATTTATTTTATGCTCATTCTTTAAACCATTTAGGTACCTCTCCCCAAATCACCAGACCCTTTCTTTCCGATATCTTACTTTGTCCTTTCAACTGACCTCTGATCATACCTTTTGAAATACTTCCCCCTCCATTGGCTTCTATGACAAGCAACACAGAGCTGCTTGGCTCTGTCAGGCAGACACATACACATAACTCTATTAATTAGGGTAAACATACTGGAGCAAGAATGTTAAAAATAACAGGTATGGGACTAGGGCTATAGCTCAGTGGTAGAGTGCTTACCAAGCACTGCCCAACACCAGTCACATACACTTCTAACCCAATGAACATAAGTGTTACTTCATGTTCCTCCAGTTTAGAAAATTTGTATTGGCAGTTTTCCCAGGTGTAAAGGTGGGGAAACTGCTACACTTAGTTATACCAAACATAAAGCTTTACCTAAACTGGATCCCATTTGGGACATGTCATAGAGAAGTTTACTAGATGTACAGGTCAAAATAGCAAATAAGCAATTTGACAACCATAGTTCAGGAGAGATGGGTGGGAGATGGGTGGTCTTCAATTTGACTGATATTTAAAGTGATGAGATGAAGGTTGTCTCACCAAGAAAATGTAGAGCAGACCAAGAACAAAACCTTGAAATGATGAGGAACAGTGAGAAACACTGAGAAGCAGGCAACACAGCACTGCATAATGAAAGTAAAGAAACTGGGCCAAGGAAGGAGTGATCAACACTGTCAACACAGTCCTGAAGGTCAAGTACAAGAGCATGCATTTCTCAATCTGGACACCACTGTTGGGCCTAACAAGCAGTTTCAGTGGAGTGGCAAGCCTGCTATGTTTGCACAGTACAAGGGAAAGCCTTGGATAGTAAACACTTGTTAGGCCTTCAACTATTTAAAAAAAAAAACAGAACAGGAACAGTAAGTAGACAGAAGTGGCCTAAGTTCAAACCATCCTTGAGGCATATAAATAAGATTTTTAATAAAAACCATCTACTTGTCTCACATTATTTCAGAACAAGCAAGGAAATCCCCTAATGATCTCTTCCAACTGTTTCTACCCACCAGAAACTGTCCTGCAACCACCATCCTATAGAGGCCATAGTGTGAAGTTACTGTAGATATTCTGCACATTTCCTGACCAACAGGAAGGAAAACTGCTTGTAACTTGCCCAATTGGCTCCCCAATAGAAGGTGCTGTAGAAAACAGGCAAACCAAAGACTCCTTAGTTGCTTATCACTTTTCAAACATAGTTACAGGGTGAAATCACAAACAATTTTCTTCCTGTTAAAAGGCATACCTTGCACATTTTCTAATTATAGATGCAAATGTGATACATGTGTTGAATTCCTAAGTGAAATTTTACAAAACATCTGGATCAAAGTAGACTTTGAATTATCAAAAAGGATGAACCCGAGGGGTCAAATGCATGACAGAATCTTTACTTTTAAAATGAGTATCAGTACACCAAATAACATACAGTAAGTTCTTAATACTATCATCTAGTAATTTTGATTAAGATAAGCTAACAGCAGCCCAAATAAGTATACTAGCATTCATTATTTTAACACTTAGCCAGAATGAACTACTTTAAGGCTAGCTGCTGCTGAGTACAAGGTACAAACAACTATTTACTACTTTTTCATAGATAAAGCCCCTGACCTTTAAGAAAGTATAAGGGAAAAAAATTATTTAATCCCTTTCTTTCTTCAAAGAATTATTTTTCTTTTTTTTGTTCCTATAAGATCTAAGAAAGAAAAAAATCCACATTGACTCATGTTGCCTGAGCTAAAAAGCATAAGAAGACAAACAACGTATCTCATTAAATCTCTAAGAAACATGAGGTAAAAAGAGGAAACTTTTGGGTAAGAACCAAGTTTGTACAAAGAATCTACTCTGCAAAAAGTAAAGGGACCTATTATAGCATACAGAAATAATTTAATGCCTTTCCTAAGACCAGAACTGCAGCTTTGCTAGTGCTCCATACTCCATGCAGGCATCTCCCACGCCAGCCCACAGAACAAGCACTTCGCTCTTGCTCTATCCATTTATGCGGTAGTTTTCATGGATTTCTGGCCGGATGTCACACACGAAGGCCAAGAGGTTATCCAGGACTTCATCCCTATTCTGCCGGAAGTAGGTCTGGAGGATAGTCATCTTCTCCTGGGTCTCCTTCTCCACCTCCGTGCTGCAACTGCCATGAGATCCCAGTGCCTGGAGTGGAGAAGCAAAGACACAGGGAATATCAACAAGATGCTCTGACTGGGCAGGAACATTCAGCAAGCAACTTGTGACTTGTGAAGAAATCAAGGCTCATCAATAGCACAACCAGTCAGTTGTAGGTCACCCTGGTACAAATCACAATCCCAGTTACTTGGGAGGCTGAAGTAGAACTGCTTGCCCTAGTGGGGGGGGGGGGGGCGGAGGAGCACAGTTGGGGGAAGAGATGGACCCCAGCAGAACAAAAGGGCTGGAGATTTTCTTAGTTTAATCCCCAGCAGCAGCAGCAGCAGCACTGCCACTACACAACACACAAACACATACACAGAGCTCACTAAAGACTGGTCAATCAAACTATGAAGCTTCTATACAAGATAATACTGTTCAGCAATATGAAATGAACTGTAAAATACTCAGTTTATAGGGAAAGGGAAAGATACAGAACAGTGTCAGTGTGGTTTAGTATTTATATTTTTTTTGTTGTGGTTTAGAAGTGGGAAAATATATGGTACTAAAAAGCCAGGTGCGGTGGTACATGCCTATAATCCCAGCACTTGGGAGGCTGAGACAAGAGGATGATGCATTTAAGGCCAGCCTGGGCTAAACAGTGAAACCCTGTCTCAAAAACAAAACAACAAACTTAAAAAAAAAATCATGGTCTGGTGGAGTGGCTCAAATGGTAGAGCATCTGCTGAGCAAGCACCAGGCTCTGAGTTCAACCCCAGTACTATTAAAAATAAAAAAATAATAGTAAAGATAGATGCAATCTAAAAGGAACATACAAGGAATTTCAGAATACATTTTTAAAAAAGTAACAGTGACTGGCTCTGATGAGGACTGCAAGTCTGGGTGAGAGGGAATCCAGTTTTTCATTGCTATTCTTTTTATTGCCTCATTTTTTACTGTATGCATGTCTTATCTAACACATTGGTTCATGAATTTCTATTTACCTCCCAGTCTTCACAGCTGGGCTGGCTCTTTTGTTAACAGCCACTGTATCAGAACTTGACCAATCAGGTTCTGGAAGACATCATATGGATCTTTTTCATCGTCGAACCTGCTCTTGCCCCATTTTATGTTCGTGTGTGTACTGTGAGTGTAGTAACAACATCCCTTTCATATTTGTGTAACACACTAGTTTTCAAAGCACTGTGCATTTACTTACTCCTCCTCACAACAACCTATGGGAAGGTTACCACTCCACTTTTTACAGATAAGGAAACCTTGACTCAAAGGGTAAGGGAACATGCAAAGATTCAAACTCAAGTCTTCTGAATTCAGACTTTGGGTTCTTTATACTATTCTTCATAATAGAGGAATATCCTGGAGCATTTCTTAATAGTTCAGTTGCTAACTTCTATTTTCAAAACCCCAACACAAGACAGGGAAGAAAACCCACCACTACCTCTGTCTCCTGAATATGAATCATATGCCAAATTCCAGTAAGTTGTCTCAAAACCAGAGGCTACCATGGGACAGTGCTAGAAAAATATGGCGCCTGTGCTTTATAGTGCAGCACTGTACCATCTCCATCTCCGTCTCCAACTGCATCACAAGGGGGTAAAAACACAGACATAAGATGGCTGCCCATTTTAAAACAGCTCTGTAATCAGACCAAGCAAAGATGGTCACAACTTTGGTTTACTTAATGACTACAAACACTGGACTTGGGCCTAGAAGGGCATGTGCTTGAAAACCACTGGAGGCCACAATGTAGAACTTGAGAAGAACACACAAAGCCAAAGGCAGAGCAGAAAGATAAAAGAGTCCTGAGGACATTATTTAAACTCCTGGATCAAGATAAACTCAATTCCTTCACTTGGGTTTTTATATAGGTCAATAAACTATAAACCAGTTTGAATTGTGTATTCTGTTGTCCCTCCCTCACTTCCTTTATTTTGGTACAGGGTCTTGCTATGTGGTCCAGGTTGGCCTCAAACTCAGGATCCTCTTGCCTCCACCTCCAGGATGCTGGGATTGCTGGGATTACAGACACATATCACCACACCTGATGTTTCCTTTCTTCATGATGCTCTCCTCCCATCTTTCCCCTGTCTATAATTTTCCCTGCATCCTTTGTGTTCCTGATCTGTTTTTGTTCCCCTATTTTATGCATCATAATAGTCCACACTGATGGTAAATATCTCTGTATACTTCACTGAGGTGGGGGCTCCATCTTATTTGTATTTATGACTATCACAGCAGTTGTCTGCATGACTTGTAATTTATTACTGAATCTCTCAGACTGTAAATTAAGCTCCAGAAGGACAAGGACCATTCTGAAGGCAGGATCTATTTCTGCTCACAGCTGGTCCCCTGGCATCTAGCATAGTACCTAGCACATATTAACTGTTTAATAGATTGTTAGAGAACTACATAAATGAAGACTAGGGTTTGTTGTTAGTAAAAAATAAAACTGCCCATCCTAAGAAAATCAGCCGAGCATCCAACAAAACAACCAGGGGCTGGAGTGTAGCTCAGTGGTAGCATGGGAAGCCTGGGGTTCAAGCCCCACCATACACAATGACCAAGTTTTCCACACTCAACCAGAATCTCTGAGCCATGCTAGATATTCTGTGAACCACTCCCCTCCATTACATTTCAATAGTGAAAAGTAACAGGAGCCCTGAGCCATGCTAGATATTCTGTGAACCACTCCCCTCCATTACATTTCAATAGTGAAAAGTAACAGGAGCCCACCGCAGCTTCCTTGGCCTTGAACTCTTTCTCCCTCTGCAGGCGGTACTGTTCAATTTCAGCCTGGGCTTCTTCTTTAGCCTGCTTCAGCCTCCGGTTCTTTCCTGTTTTCAAAGGAGAGAGCTACATCAGGGAGTGGTTAAAAGACAAGTAGAATACAAAGAAAAAAGATTTAAGACACACTTCCAAGAGATATGGACACAAAAAAGGGAATTCATAGCTAAGAGTACAGGTCTCTGCCCGCTACAGGCCAAAAGGACATTAGTAAACAGGAGTGCCTTCCTGTAGCTCAGCTCAGCTCAGCAGCACAGCACATGCCTGCAAGACCCTGAGTTCAATCTCCTGTACACCACACACACATACAACGCCTTCCATAACTACAGCGCAGAAAAATTATGGAAATGTTGTGGAACGTGAGAGAATATTCTCTTAATCTCAACTATAAAGAACCAACATAAGATAGGTGACACAAGCCATCTGGGAACTCTTCCTAAGCAGAGCTCTGATGACAAGTAGAGATCTGCTTAGGGCTTGGTAAGGAAGCTAATGTGCTCCCAAGGGATGTCAACTTAAAACATAACTAATGAAACAGTACTGGCAAGTAAACACCATGCCAGTAGTGACTGGGAAGAATGCTCAACAGGGAGCAGAAGAGCAAGCAGCTTAGAGGTGAGGAGAAACAGGGGTTCTGGTTTCCAGAAGACAGCAGCTTACACACAACTGGAAAAAAATCTCTAGGCTGCCAAAGCCTGTATGAAAACAGACCACAAGTCCAGTCAACCCATACTCTTCACTTTGAATGTGCTCACCAAATCTCTTGGATAGTCAAAGGGAGTAAAAAGTCTGTGTGTGTGTATACAAAAATATGAACCTAATTATGGAAGAGAAGGAAAAAGAATGATGGAGTGAATAGTATCTTAGTGCAGTGTGTATGTATGAAAATGGCATAATGAAACCCACTCAAAACTCTTTAAAAATGGGGGGAGAGGGACAGGGCAAAGAGAGTGCAATAGAGGGGTAATATGATCAAAGTACAATGTATGTTTGCATGAAATACTCTGGTGAAATTCCTTTGCACAATAAAAATTGTTTAGGAAGCCCTAGATGATCAACCTATGTATTTATTTCACAGCAAAAGACATCCTATATCTAAAACTAAGCTTTGATACAGATCACTGTACATCAGTTGTCCAGAGCCAATTCCACCCAAGCTGATGAAATTGAATTTAACCTTCCACTCTGATTAAGAACAGAATTTTGAAGCTGTAATGACACCATGACATTAACACTCCATTAGTCTAAAGCCGTGAGTCTCTCCAAACACCTCAATGCTATTTCCCCAAGTCTATACTTAACTACACTACTGTAGTTAAGTACTATTGCTGTACCCCAATCCTTCACAAACTATCCCCTTGCCATCAGCTACTTGGGCCAGATTAAAAAGCCAAAGATCTTTTCCAAACCAACAACCTATCAACATTCACAACCCAAACATTATGCAGTAGAGTTCCACATAATTTCACCATCATCACTCCCAACTCCAACTACTCCCTGAATTAATGACTTTCAAATAATAACATCTCTCCCTTTTGGCAAATCTCTTCAAAGTTAGATTTTGATAGGCTTTTCTGAAAATCAAAAATATTTGAACAAGAAACTGTGTGTGTGTGTGTGGTATTGCAGCACTTGGGAATGTACATATTAGGAAAGCAGTCTACCACTGAGCTACACCCTCATCTCCCATAATCCTTTATCATTTTGGTTTTCAAGATTTGCATACCAGGCTTTGAATTTGAGGCCTAAACTTTGAGCCTCCACCAGCTGTTTTTCGTGATGGCTTTTTTTTTGAGCTATTTGCCCAGGCTTGTGATCCTCCTGATCTCTGCCTCATGAGTACCTAGGATTACAGGTGAGAGTCACCAGCACCCAGCCCACATGTCTTTTAAGTCTTGTTTTTCTTGGGCCATATAAATGTGAACCAGTGTTTTTGTAAAACTCCAGTTAAAAACACCACTACAACACCTTTTTTTTTAAATACTAAGGTTCAAAGCAATGATTTCATGAAAAATTTGGACTTGACCATTTTATCACATCATACTTAACTTTAAAAAGCCAACCATAATTACAGATCAAGACTTTTTTTTCAAATTATAGCTCTTTTGAATACTTCTGTTCCCAACTATTGATCATCCTGAAATATATATTAGCCATAAATATGAGTTAAAAACAAATTCATTCAGCAAATAACTGAGATATTCAAGACCCTACACCTGCCTTGACAGGGTAGAAAAAGGTATAAACCATGTATAGCCGAAGTATTTGTTCCTGCACTTCCCCCAAATAGTCTCATGTCCTTCCCAACAGATACAACTGCTGCTGCTGATGGGTCATCACTGGACAGACTGAGAAGTCATTCTGGAAATACTGCATCAAGGGCATGATTGGAAATACTCTGTAAAGAACACAGAACTTTCTAGTCACCAGGCAGAAAGAAAAGATTTCTTCCCAACCCCCACACCTTCAAAGAAAGCTCTTCCTAGGAAATAAGAATATTACAACTCCAAGGAGAGACATGTTTGAAATCTACTTGGATATGGGATATATGAGTCTAATACTAAGGAGAAACACCCTTACACAGTAAAGGAGGCCTCTAAACTTCACCTATGCTGTTTCCTGCGGTCTGGACAAATCACTTCTCTCTGAACTTCATTTTCCCATCTCTAAAACAGGAGAAGAAACATCTTTCTCAGCAGATGGGAAAACTGGACAAATTAAGTTAGGAAACAGTATGCAAAGGCTTGTGGGTAAAATGAAATGAAGATGCCTTTGAGCAATCACAATGATTCAGAACAGCTGGAGGAGTGTACCCCAAAGTGACATTTAGGCAAGAATGCAAAAGGTCCGATAAAATGAGCTTCCTCTAACCTATTAAGGAAACTGAGACGAGAGCTGGGGCGTGGCTGAAGTGGTAGAGCGAGGCCCTGGGTTCAATCTCCAGTACCGGGAAAAAAAAAAAAAAAAAAGAAACGTGAGGTTTATTCTGCTGGCACGAATCGTGTGTTGACTACAAAGGCGGTAGGGAAGTCTTGCTTTCATTTTACGCGGATGACTGACTACACTGAGACCGGACTGCAGACGACTAGGACTGGTTTCTTCCACGCCTCAGTCTACCTAGACCCACCTGTTAAAACTCCTCAGCAACCTTGCACCTCTCAACTCCAGCCTTCCACTCACTTACAATCACCCAGCATCTGCTTCCGGCAGGAGAACATGGATAACCATAAGGAAAATGGACCCAGTGCTGTACGGGCACTTATTAGTCGCCATTTTTTTTTTTAATATAAGGAATCAACAAATCAGGCTGCGACAGCCTACTACAGCAGCATCAGGGAAGTTCTCATGGATTACGATGCTGGAGGAAGAGACGGAAAAAAAGTCAACAGATCCACAAGCCTTGGCGAATGACTAAACCTAGAGAATGAGAGAGGAAGAGGAAAAGATCCCAAGTTTGGACGCTGAACGACCTTGGCTGGTGGCTTGTCAATGAGCTGGGGCCTCGGAAAGGGACAAAGACAAAAGCGTTCCATTTGCAGGAGCCCCTTCCACGCTCCTCCCAGACCCCAAAAAGGACGCAAATCCAGTACTGGCTACACCTCCAATTTGCTACCCCATCTCGAGGCTTCCAGGCGACCCGCCAGCCTTCCAGAGCCTCAGTCCCAGACAGCTTCGAAACACGCAGGGGCCACAGCAGGAATCCCCTGGACGGGGCGGGTTTTCGGGCCTCTTGGCCTAGCAGCCTTCCTCAGTCTCGCGCCGCCCTCCCGAACTCACGCTTGCGGGCCTCGGACACCTTTTCGGCGGCCCGCTTCTCGGCCTGCAGCAGCTGCTGGATCCCCTGTGACTGGCTGGCCATAGTTGCGGCAACTCAGGACCCAAGCAAGAGGCCCAAGTCGGCGCTCTGGCCGCTCAGGTCAGCTGACCCGCCGCCCGCGATCTGCGCCTGCGCTGCACCGGTGCCCCGCCCCTCTGTCACGTGACCCGCGATGCGTCACGTCAGCTGACCGTTTCGAAGCCCTGTGACTCCTGCGGAACTGGGCGGGCTGAGGAGGGAAGAGCGAGGTGCCTCGCTTGCGCCTGCGCAGAATGTGCCCGCCCGATCTTCACTCATTGCCACGCCCAAGTGGCGATAGCCGCGTGGTTGCCCCTTTACTCGTTGGGTCCTGTAGCTACCCTGCCACGTGATTATTCCCCTGATTCCTCACTTTTTAGTCACGTTAAGGTTCATAGAGAAAGGACCAAATCTACGCTTGGGTTCCAGTCTCAGGAAGTGGGTGTGGAGGAGAGCCAGTGGTTGCTGTTTGCAATGTGACAGACACTGTGCTCAGCCTCCCAGAAAGCTCGAAGCACTGTGAGATGGTAATCCCATTTTATAATGACCAAACAAGCCCAGCAGCTTAAGTAACTTGCCCGGTCATAACCCTATTGACTTGAATCTAGTCGGCTGCAAACTGTGCTCCTCTGACCAGCGGTGCCCTTTGGCAGGACTTTGGTGGGTAAGGACCAGGAGACCTCCTAGAGTTTATCAAATGCTGAGAACATAAGATAATGCCAGAATATTTTGCTAGAAATATCTCAAGGAGGAGGGTGAATTTGTATCTCAGGATATTTTCATATGATTGAGGTTAGAAAGGGGGCTGCAATTCAGAATTCCTCTTCTTAGCTGGTAAGAGAACCAGGACTCTACCAGTCTCTGGGATTCTTACCTACAATGATTTCTTGGAGAGGATTTGTAAATTTTGACATTCTGAGAGAACACTTCATTTTAAAGTTAGTGGAGGACACACTTCTAGGGGTGAGTTGGAGACTAAAAGAGATGATAGTAGCCAAAAACTGGAACCACATACATGTCCAACTACTGATAAGTGAACCAATAAAATAGGCTTATCCATACAATAGAAAAGTATTCAGTGATAAAATGGAATAAAGTAGTGAAACAAGTTACAAAATGAGTGAACCTTGGTAACATATTACTAAGTGGGGAAAAAAAAAAAAAAAAAAAAAACCTAAGCACAAAAGGCCACATGCAGGACAGTTCCTTCTCTATGAAATGTCCAAGCCGGGTACAGTGTGTTCTTACAGTCCCAGCTATTTGGGAAGGTGAGGCAGGAAGATCATTTGAGCCCACAAGTTCGAAAACAACCTAGGTAGCATAGTAAGTCTCTGTCTCAAAAAATACCTATGCAGATGATGTGTGTGAAATATCCAAATTAGGCAAATCTATATAAGACAGAAAATAGATTAGTGATTAAACAGAACTGGGGAGGGGAGGGAATGGGAAATGACTGCTCACCAGTATGGCATTTTCTTTTTAGGTTAACAGAAATGTTCCAAAATTAGATAGTAGTGCCGGTGGTACATCCTTGCAAATATACCAAAAAAAAAAAAAAAAAACCTGAGTTGTACACTTTCAAAGAGTGAACAGTATGGTATGTGAATTATATTTCATCAAAGTTTTTATTTTAAAATGAGAGATGGCGAAGTTGGATGTGAAAACCTTGCAGTTTCTAATTTGTAGTAAGAGGCAGCAAACGGAAGCTGTTGTTTCTATCTGGCCAGTCGGGAATTGTTTGATTTACAAATCTGCTCTTACACTTAACAAAAGCCTTCACAGTCGGGATCGTCTAACAGCACATCTCCTCAGAGTATCTAAATATCTACAAATTCCAGAATTCTTTTGCTGGAAGAATTTCAAAAGTTCCCTGTGTAAAGAGAGAAATACCAGACAATCCCATCTCTGAAATCCAGACTGGTTTAGGTTGTCTGACAATCTACATGGGTATCTCCTGTCAGAACTTGGGTTCCCTGAGGAGGCATCCACAGTAACTAGGAAATGTGGGTGAAGCAATTGCCCTATGAGAGAAGCCTTGAAATCTTGAGCAAAGGCTCAGAGTAATTTCAGGGGCACAAGGTGGATCCCAGGCCTCATTCCTCTGACCTAGGAATGTACCAGCTGTAGCGAAGATAAGGATGTGCACACTCAAGGGTGCCCTTCACAGGTCCAAGCTCAGCAGGAACCCAGGGAAACTAAAAGAGTAGATGGCCTAGTTCATCATCCCAGCCCAGTACTTCACTTGCTGGGAAATATTGAGCAATTACTTAACCTCTCTGAGCTCTGACTGTTCATATGTGAAAAATGAGGTGAATAATAGTATAAGGTTTGTAAAGAGAATTAAATCATTTAATACATGAAATTAGCTTAGAATGTGCTCACAACTCATAAAAACATAAATATCTGGTCCCTGTGGTAGTGGTTTCTTAACAAAAAAAAAAAAAACAAAAACAAAAAATGGGCCTTTTGCCTTTATTTATATAACCAAAAACAAGCTAGTGTATTTGGTTATTAGAAATTAATATCAGACTAACTGACAGCTTCCAGAGCCTCTGCTGCACTAGTATACATTGTGAACAGGTTGTTCACTTTACAAGAAGGCAGTTCTACTAAAATCCAGCCCAGGGTCCACCTATTCTCCTCACAAGGAGCACCTTTTCTAATTTATACAAGGATTCCTTGAGACCCAGCAGTTGTCCTGTGACAAAATCCTGGTTGAGGCCTGACTCATCCCATGAGAAACTCCTGAAAGAATTAACTGCCTCCCCCACAGAGGGAGCCTCCTCAGAGACAGCTTACTGGCCTCCTCTTAAGTTAGCAATTTTAAAATTTTCCACATCGAAATGTTTAGGATTAATAGCAAACCCCTCTTCTCCCTTGATTTAATCTAAAAATAATTTCAAAGAGACTAAGATTATATGACCTAATTTTGCCAGTGTTCGAGAGCGCTATGGTTTGTATGTGAAGTGTCCCCCACAGGCTCCTGTGTTAAAGGCTTGGTCTCAGTGAGTGGTACAATTTGAGGAGATGCTGAAAATTTCAGGTGAGTAGGGCCTGGCTTGATGAAGTAGGGGGTGTGACTTTCAACAATATTTTGTCCCTCTCTTTGGCTTCCGGCTACCATGAGGTAAACAGCTTTGGTCCGCCAAGCCCTTTTGCCATGACATTCTGCCTTACCAAGGGCCAGAAACAAGAGTCATCTCACCGTGGACTAAAAACTCTGAAATTGTGATCCACAATAAATACTCCCTCCTTTTAAGTTGTTTTCTCAGATGCTTTGTCACAGTAATGAAAAAAGTAATAGATAATATCTGGCCTTCAATGAGCCGATACAGCTAGCTGTGTGCATCACTACAATGCTATCTGTTTGCTATTTCGGTCTCTTCGCAGTTAAAGATCCAGGATTGACCTGGGAAACATTTGCTCCTGTACTGTTCCAGAAGCAGAGGGGCATGCTTGGAAAGTAATCACAGAAACTAAGAATTGCAAATTCTTCCTAGAAATTAACTACAAGGAAGTCTAGACAAAGTCATGAGTAAAGGTGTATTAACAGTAACATTTCCACTCATTCAGTTATTTAAAAGCCTGTGTCGAGCATCTGGTATGTGCCAGCTTTTAGCCAGGTGCTATCATGTGAGCAAAACAGACCCATTCCCTGTCCTCTTGAAGTTTGGAGTCCATGAGAAATAGAAGTCAATCAGAAATGCCTACCACTGAATGTGTAGTAAACGTAAATGCTAAATGCGCTATCATTGGGCTGTCCAGTGTGGGACTCACTAGCCATATACAGCTGTTGTGCACTTGAAGTGTAGCTAGGCCTTATTCTTAGAGTCCTTGTTCTCTAAGTATAAGATCATGCACATTTCAAAAACTTCATACAAAAAACTAAAATGTTTAATTAATAATTTTTATTGATTTCAGGTAGCTCTGATAATACTTTGGGCATATTGGACTAAATACCTTACGAAATTAATTTTGCCATTTTATACTCATTAGTTTGGCTACTAACAAAAAAAAGAAAAGAAATAGCAAATAACAAGTGTTAGCAAGTGTTCAAGTTTGAGTATGACATGTCCCCCTCAGGTTTGTGTGGGAATGCTTGGTCCCCGATGGGTGACACTAGTTGGGGAGGTTCTGGAAACTTGAGGAAGTAAGGCCTAGCTGGAGGAAGTGCATCTGTGGTAGTGCCTTGATGGTTATACTTGTTGCCTTGTCCCTCCCCTCTCTTGATCTCTCTCTGGTTCTCATCCACCATGAGGTAAAGAAGCTATTCTCCCTCATGCGCCTGTAGCCATGATGCTCTGCCCAACCACTGAGGCCAAGCAATCATGGACTGTAGCCTCTGACATAAATCCTTCCTCCTTTAAGTTGTTTATGTCAGGTGTTTTGTCACAGTGACGAGAAAAGTAACTAACACATCTTTGTTGGCAGGAATATAAATGATGCAGTCACTATGAAAAACAGTAAGGCAGTTTTTCAAAAAATTAAAAACAGAATTAGGGACTAGTGGCATGGCTCAAGTGATAGAGTACTTGCCTGGAAAATGCAAGGCCCTGAATTCAGTTCCTAGAACCGCACACATACAAAAAAACCCAGAATTACCCTATATTACCTTATGATCCAGCGGTCTTACTTCTGGGTATTATAATTAAAAGACTTGAAAGCATAGCAGTGTAATAGTGACCACTCCATTGGAGAGTGTTCTTGGCAGAGTTACTTTTGCTTCCCCTCCCTTTGCCCTTCCTTAAGGTTACTTCCCGTCCTATCTCTATGCCTTTTTTTAAATCCTGAAAGTCATTTAATTTTTAGTAATAATGTTACCATGTTTACAACATAAGTCTGCCAATGATGTAATTGAAAAACAAAACAGGTCTCTAACAAGCAATTTGAAAAGCACTAAAATAGACAACAATAAACATAAACCAAATACAAATGGGGAAAATGTCTAAGATACTTCCATTGCCAAGAGGACAGGAGAATAAATTCAGACAAAGGAAGGAAATGGATTTAAAAAAAAAAAAAAAAAGAGGACCCAAGAACATCTGATGTTCAGTTCACGTGAGAATATCCAACCTGTCAATCAACAGGGAAATGAACACTAAAACCACGT